CTTTAGATCCAGAATAACAACACCAGTTGTCATCTTTTAGAGGTAAAAAGCTTTGAACTTGATGAAGCTATGCTTAGATCTAGTTTAGCCATGAATTTTGTGTTCTTCTAGTCCCATTAGTTTGGTATTTTGAGTATGAGCCACTCCAATCCATTTAAGCTGCCCTTTCAGACGTTTTGGGGTGTTTAGAAGCATAAAAATGTGGTCTTGATCATTATTTCCCTTCCATTCATAAGTTACAAGGTCTTAATGGGTTAAGTAGTTAGAGTTTTTTTTGTTTGAGCACTTAATGATCATGCAAGACCATAAAGTTGGAAATTTTATGGTTAAGGACGTTATTTTAGGGTTGGATCTGGATTATGGACAAAAGAGCTTAAGGATTAAGCTCTTAATGGAAAGGAAATGACATAGCCGCGAACGATGGGCGTTCCCTAGGAGCGTTGGGCGTTCATGGTCAAGCAGTCCATTTTTCTGGTCAAGCTGTGCACGCTTAGCGTACAAGCTGAGTACGCTGGGCGAACTCAGCTTTGTTGACCAAGTTTGACTTTTGACTTTTTGACTTTTTGGACTTTAACCAGGATTTTGACCAATTTTAACCAAAGGGTATTTTGGGTATTTGATAATAAGTTAAGTTGGGCTATGATTTGAATAATAGGTGACGGGTAGAGCCGGTATCCAGAGCAGAGATTTATTCAGCTATTTACTCGGACTGAGAGGTGAGTTTTCCTCACTATACTTATGGGTCGAAGGCACCAATGTCGGCCCACTAGATTGTGTATCCTTGTTTAGAGGATGTTGATATGTTATAGAGATTTGTAGATCAGTATCCTGATAAATAGGATGTAGTATGCGGTAGTGATCTGTAAATCTGCATGTTTGTCTGATGACGGGTTATATGTTTATCTGTCTGCTGGTTATATGCTATGTGTTATGTATATGTCGACATAGTATGGTTGGGTTGAGGTAGTAATACTTTGTGCGGTAGCCAACAAACCCGAGAGCAAGTCATATATGAGTTGTGGGCCCGTTAGGCAAGCCAGACTCATACTGTGGGCTTGCGGAAAATTCAATATGTTAGTTGTGGACCCAGTATATGTTGATATATGTTATGTGTGTTGGTACTTTGGGGGAACACACTATGCTTTGGCTTACAGTTTCATTTTATTGTTTTAGATACTTCAGATAACTGTGGCAAGGTGAATGCATGATCGTGCACATCCTTTGGTTTTATGTTGTTGGGATCTTGGGATACTCTGATTTTATATAATAATTTTGAAACAATGGTTTTATAAACACTTTATGGATGCAATGGTGTGACAACCGTCAAAATTTGAGATAGTTCTGGATTTGGATAAACTTAGTTGCACGTATAGGCACGATACAAACTAGACTTTGTAACTAGAAACTTGGAAACAATTAGAAACGATGGATAGTGTACTTAGATTTCACATTGATATGTGACTTCTAAAGCTACTTTAACTGTAACACCTATCCAAATTCGGGTCATTCCTTGACTCGAGAATCTTTGCATGAGTCATGTAGACACTTCATGCACTTGACCTAGCAGTAGAAATTAGGTCAAAGTCTCATAGGAACTTAAGTCAAAGTTGAAAACTAGGACTAGTATACCTGGTTCTTCAATTTCATATGAATCTCGGATCCACTACATAGAAATGCCAATAAACCGACAAAAATAAATTACAAACATTATTTCTAACTTAAATAAGATTTATGAAACTCTAAAATAGTTTGGAGTCTCAATATTCAATTAATTTTGATATCCAAGGGTTTACAAAATTCCTTAAAACCCTAAAAGTCATAAAAACTCAAATTTATGAAGTTTTATATTAAAATCTCATAAAAAAATTTATAAACACTATAATATCAAATTAATATATTTAAAATGTGGAAATATAATCAAGGAAATTAATTTAATTCATTAACATTAACTTTACATTTATAAGTTAAAAATCCAAGAGTTATGAACAAATTTTATATAAAATACACATTTTATATAAATTGAAAGAAATTTTATAAAAATTAAGGAATTAATATAAAATAAATAAAATAAAATAAAATAAAATTTCCTCTCTCCACTCAAAAATCGGCCTCATCCCTCCCAAGACCACTCTTCCCCAAAACTCAATCATTTCACTCACTTATTCACTCTACCACTCTACTTCTCTCTCTAAATTTCTCTCTTCCTTCTCTCTAAAGGAAATCCGATGGTAGAAGCAACTTATGTCGGAGAGATTTTTCCAGTTCACTATTCATATGTCAACACACATCTCTATATTTTGGTGACTGACTTTAGTGGAGAGAAACCCCAAAGAGATGACGAGAGGGATTGGGTATCCAGAGAGATGAAATCTTTCTTTTCTCTCTTTTCTTTTCTCTAAAACCCCCATTCTTTCCCTCTATGAATTAGCTCCAAAACCTACGATATTTGCAGCAAATATCCCTCATTTTACTCAAGAATATTCATCATTTGAAGTTCATCTTCAAGGTAAAATCAATTTCCTTACATTTTGTTCACTTTTCTTTCAAAAATATCAAGTTTTCTTGCATTTTTCTTCTCCATAAATATTATTCTTTGAAATTATTCACGAAACAGATGATAATGGTGGTAGGATTTCACCCAAAAACAACATGCATGTTGTTAGAAGGTGAAATCCAATGATCAAAACCTAAATCAAATCCGTCAACTTGAGTTTTACAAGTTTTAATCCAAACCCATATGCATTCAAGTTTTTCATTTAGAAACATAATTTTGAAAAAATTAAGTTCATTCATGGTCTAAAAATCATAATGCATGTGATGAACATCAAGCTAAAAGGCTTGATGATCAAAGTACATTGTTAAGAATGCTTATAAAAGATTTATTCACAAATAAATATCTAAAACTTCTTTTCTGTTCAACTACGATTTTTCCCAGAATCCAAACAACAAAATAAGATGATCTGGAAATTGTCAGAAAATAAATCATTTTTCTCGATTTATTGTAATTTTTGCAAGAAAATACATAAATAATTCACATTAAATATTTTTTATGGTCAATAAACTTTGGTAAATTTCTCAAATGACCTATGCACTGATTAAAGACGTTTCATGAAATTGCATGTATTTCTATAGTTGTTTTCTATTGATTTAAATTTTTTTTTGAAGAGAAATAAATTGTAAAACACATTTATGAATGTCCAAATCCATATTTCATAATTTTCGCATATTCTAGACGTCATAGAGACTCCATGAAAAACATTTCATATTTTTCCAAGACAAATTATTGTTTTTCCCGATTTAATGAATGTTTAAGGGATTAAATTGATGAAAAATCGCTACACTTATCCAAAAATTATGAAACTTCATCAGAATATCTTATAATATATATTAATTGTGAATAAAAAGTTTAATAAATTTCTCTTACTGTTTATTAATTTTTCATGAATTAATGCTTATCTACTCTCCTAATAAAACACTACCATTACCGCCACGTGTCACTCCCTTGCGTCCAGCTCCTTTCATTTTCCCGCTCAATAGTCTTAACTGAATTTCCCACTTTGCCCTTCCGTTCCAAAAATACTGCAAATCCGGACAAATACTGCAACTTTGAAGTTTAAAATTTTAATTATCAATTATTATCGATTATACCATATAAATCTGCAACAAATTAGGAAGAAAATATGTGCTAAACTTTATCTCAATCCCAAATAATCAGTCAATCGAATAACAATCCCAAAAAATCAGGCAAAGTCTTCCTAATTTAAATTTAAATATTTGTATATACAGAAACAACTACGTTCCTCTTTCAATACGAATAAATCGAATATTCATCGTCTGGTAAGGGATACTACATTGTTTTCTTTTTGTTCTTCATATATCGATCTTATACTCATCGATTTTTTTTTTTTTGTGTTTGCAATCTGTTTTTCCTATATTCAAGGTATACCAATCGCCTTCTTTTTGTGGACTGCATAATCAACCAGGTTTAGGTTTGTTACGTATATCCATTCTCTCTTTCTATGGTATATATTTTCTGCTTATATATGTATTTTACTATTTTACTATTTCCATCACCTTCATTTCGATTCATAGCAACAATATACTTTACCTGTTATCGGTAGGTATTTGACTGTTTCCCCTTCATTGTTGTTTCTGTATAATTATAGTATCAAAAACAATAAACTGAATGTACATTGCTATTTGGTTTTTTTTTATTTATGTATTCTGAATAATAAAACTTCTGCTATAGTCTATGATATAGTTTTCGATTTTTTTTTCTCATTGTATTATTTTACTTTCAATGCTTTATACATATCTTATATATAACTATACTTTCTAAAACTCACAACTGTTATACAAATTTTTAAACGATAATGTGACCTCATTATCAACTTCATTTACTGTAGAAAAGACCATAATGCCCTTAATTTGAAAACAAAAAACTGAATGTACATTGTTATTTGTATTTTTTTTTTTGTTTTTTTTCTGTATTCTAAATAATAAAACTTCTACTATAGTCTATGATATAGTTTTCGATTTTTTTTCTAAATTATATTATTTAAAACGACAATGTTACCTTATTATCAACTTCATTTACTGCAGAAAAGACCATAATGCCCTTAATTTGAAAACAAGAAACTGAATGTACATTGCTATTTGTTTATTTATAAGACTGAATGTACATTGCTATGTTATACAGGTTTGAAAACTGCCATTTTACCCTTTTCCACTTCATTTACTCCAGAAAAGACCATATTGCCCCTAAGTTGAAAAGTATTTCATACATATGTTATACAAGTTTTATAACTGTCATGTTACCCTTTTCCACTTCGTTTACTCCAGAAAGACCATATTGCCCCTAAGTTGAAAAGTATTTGATACATGGCAGTTAACAATTAAGACAAATAAATAAATCAATCAATCAATGCTTTTCGATTTTTCTTTTTATATTTGAACATTTATGTTAAATATACAAGGTTTTTTTTTAATTGCAAGGTACAATGGAACATATTAGTCCTATAAAGGAAATTGACTCAATCAAGGATGATTTCACAATTAAAGTTCGAATCATACATCTTTGGACTCAAAAGTCAAAATTTGATGCAAACGACACATACTCGATAGAAATGATTTTGATGGATGAGGAGGTATATGATTTATATATTCAATTATTATTTTTGTAAAAATTTATTCATATTCTTAAGCCATTATATATAAATATTTGTTATTTGTTGATTTTTTAGGGAAGGAAAATTCATGCATCTTGTGTGAAAAAATGGTTTCCAAAATTCAAACGCTATCTTAAAGAAGATAGTTCAATATATGTGAAGAAACCTAACGTTGCACCAAATACTTCAAAATTTAAGTTTGTTGATCCAGAAAGAAAACTTAACTTTTACCACGATACAACTGTAAAAGAGTGTGAAAACTTTTCTGGATCTGCACACGGCTTTGATTTTGTTGACTTCAATACGATCGTTTCGAACAACATCCTGGAGTCAAACTCTTTTGGTTAGTTCATTTAATATTAACTTTTGTTATATAACATCCTACTTTCTTTCTTAGTACTACAAATTGATCATTTTTTTAACTTAAGCAATTTATTTTGTTGCTTTTGTAGATATTATTGGACACATATTTGAATATGGGCGTATGGATACATCTGAAGAAGATAAATCAAAACACAAAATGCTCTTACATCTTCAAGATATAGAGTATCCACCATTATTACAAACAAATAATACACTTTGTTTTATATTATCTACAATAATTTTTATTGTTTCAGGGATACTAAGCTTAAGGTAACTTTGTAGGGTCATAATGCATACTACATGTCAGATTTTCTTGCTAATAATAACAGCCTTGCTCCGGTTGTTGTTATTGTTCAGTTTGCCATGCCAGAGTCAAGTTTATTAATGGTTTGTAATTATTTTTAAAAGTTATTTTCTAAAACTTTATATATAATTAATTAATCAAAATTATTTTTGCAGGTCGTCCTTTTTCCTCCACCTACTTTGATGTTAGTAGGTTGTTCATAAACAATGATATCGATGAGATTACAAGCTACAAAAACAAGTATTTTCATTTATAATGACTGTTGTATTTTCAGATTTATTTTTTCATAATGTATTAAATTTAATTATTTTTTGTTATAAATTAACAGATTGGTTTCTGAAAATGGACAACAACTTTCATCAAGTGGAATCAAGATGATTGCATCAAAACAAGACACGGCACACGATGAGTTTCTGAAAAATCATATGTTTTCTAACATTGATGATTTGTTTGAACCTTAGATGTACTTTACATTATTTTTAAAGTTGTTACTTTAATGCACATTTTTTTAACTTTTAAAAGAGTAAGAAACAAAAGTATATTGTTATAACGAAAATAATATACACTTTTGCATACTAACATTTATTAACATTGAACATTATTTAAATTTCAAGGAGAAAACGGTCATTATTGTTGGTACTGTTAAGGGAATACATCAAAACATACGATGGTATTACCTTGCTTGTAGCAACTGCAAAAAAGTCAGCAAAAGAAAAAGAGTCTTCTACTGATAAGGTTGATGGTTCTCATGAAGTGGCCGAAATCGTTACTTATGAATGTGCTAATCTTAAATGCAAAAATATCAAAATTTCGGTTATTCCAAGGTATTACATATTTATTTTATATAAAAACAATATATGTTTATCATAAATGTGTAATATAATATGATTTTATACTTTATTTAGATTTAAAATCTCACTTCGGGTTCAAGACAACACAGGAACCTTGACTTTAACCTTATTTGATCAAGAAGCAAAGAAGTTGTTTAAATACACAGCTAAAGAGTTGTATGATAAAAACAAGAATGTATTATTTTATAGTTTTTAATTACTTCTTTATGTTATACATTATATGTTTTACATACAAAATATCTAACAATATTTATTTATATTTTAGCTTGGCATCAGTTTGGATTTGTATCCAATGGAGTTGAAAGTTGTGGTTGACAAAAAGTTGGAAATTAAAATTGATATCACAAGTTACAATGTGGATAATAAAAGTAATATTTATGGGATAGCAAGATTGATTGAGAATGCAGACATAATTGATGAACTGGAGAAAAAGAATCTGAATTCACTGGTTTTTGTCAACAATTATATATATATTTTATACCACATTGGCCCAACTATATATGACTAAAATAACATTTTTTTTTTATCTTATAATGCAACCTGCTAATTTTGATTCATTCATGATTGGTTCTTCAGATATTGCCTCCCAAGAGACCAAAGTTGTCAAGGTTCTACTTTTTAAAATATAATTTTGAAATATTTCATTTTAATGTATAACAACTAACTAAAATTTCTTCTAGGATTCTTTTTCACATACAGGTGAAAATTTAACATCGTGTGCTAGGGACAACTCAACTGCAACAAGTCCTACAAAGTTGGTTTCTACCCCAACAGAATTGAAAAGAAACATTGCTACATGCATAGATCTTGATGAAATGGAGAATTTATCTACTTCTAAAACTCCTCGGTTGTCACCACCAGATGAACAACCAATCCCTCTTTTGGTACCCAAGAAAGAAAAGTAAATGCACTTTACTTCTATAAACAATCTTAGTACGTGGTTAATTTTGTTTCAGCATCATAGACTCCTAAGCTGTTTACATTTTTAAGTTTGTTTTTTTAAGGTGGTTTTCTGGGGATTTTATGATTTTCATATTTGTTTCTTGAAAGTACATTGGCTTAATTTTTTCAGTACTCTAATGTCGTTTACTATGTTATTTTGTTTCACGTTTCTGAACATCATATAATCAACATTATTCATCACTTAACAATCAGGCTAGCCTATTAAAATATTCGTCATTGTTCTTAATTTTGGTCCCCATTTTCTTCTTACATTTTATTCCTTTTGGTTTGTTCATTATGTAGTTATCACATGTTACTTGACTTGAATGTGCAGAATTTGTTCTCATTTTTAAAACATAAACATCTAAAAACTACACATTCGTATTATTTAAATACTGCATGTTATTTGCACAAAGTCTGTTTCATTCTGTTTTATGTTCTTACTGCATATTAGAAGGAATACCAACAAACTTTAGCTTTTATGCTAACTTATTCTATTTTTCTGTTTTCGAGCATGTCCTTGGTTGAAAGAAAACACGACAGATGTTCATTGGTTTCATTTAATATGTGTTTTTTATTTTATACTGACAGTAAAAATGAAACAATGAATATTTTTATATGCTACTAACCTTAACATGACCAAGTTGTGTTATTTGCAAACCAGAATTTGGATGTGTATGCCTGTTACCAACCTATGGAAAAAGCACTCTTCCACAAGGTTGTAGTTCAATGGGCCATAGATATATATAAAGTGTAATTAACACCCTTTGACTCCAATAAAGCCTCTGTCTCAAGATTTCCCTTGTGTCAACTTGTAGGATCAACAGCATCCGTCTATGACCAAATAAAAAAACAAAAATTTAATATATAATTATAAAGAAGAGGTCTAAATGTACCTGTGATATAGTAAAATAGTAAAAAATACAAACAAAAAAAATATGATCATTGGACTTTCGTTATGTGAATTTACAGCTCCACCTTGATTTCCTCACGCACTCTGAAAATAATAAATATTTTTTTCGAATGCATTATTATTATTATTATTTTTGCTTATTGTGTTAAATCCTTCATTTGTAGCACTATAGATAGAAATATGATGTGAATATTTTCAGTAAGGCTCATGTTTACCATTTACTGATTTATTGATATTAAGTAAAACTACAAACCACAAAGTGTAAAACGGTCTTTTTTGTCAATGAAATGGGACAAAGTGCAGCACTTTGTTGTATGCACGGATGTGTTTGGAAGAAGCATGCAATTAATAGAAAAAAAATGTAAAATGATATAGTTTTCGATTTATATTTTTTTACTCAATATATTATTGTACTTTCAATGCTATATATATATATATATATATATATATATATATATATATATGTATCTTATATAACTGTATTGTGCTTATAATTCACAACTGTTGTACAAGTTTTAAAATGACCATCTTACCCTTTTCCACTTCAGTTAATCCAAAAGATACCATATTACCCCTAAGTTGAAAACTACTTAACACATATAGTTATACAAGTTTAAAAACGACATTTTTACACTTTTGTAACCGATTTACTCCAGAAAAGACCATATTGCCCTTAAGTTGAAAAGTATTTGATACATATGTTATACAATTTTTAAAACGACCATTTTATCCTTTTACACTTCATTTACTCCAAAAAATATCATACTGCCCCTAAGTTGAAAGGTATTTGATACATATGTTATACAAGTTTTAAAACAACCATTTATCCCTTATCCACTTCATTTACTCCAGAAAAGACCATATTACCCCTAACTTGAAAAGTATTTCGTACATATGTTATACAATTTTTAAAACTGACATGAAATATTACTAATGGTATCAATCTGATATTTAAATTTAAAACTGATGAACCTATTATAAATCATTTAAAATCACAAAAAAAAAATGAGAAATTATACAACAACACAAAAATCGCAAAGGAAATCAGTACTAAACTCACAAAAGTTGAACTATTTCAATGTTTTTATTTCTTTTGTTACTCACCAAAACACTACAACATTCAACAATGGAAGTAATTGGCTTAATATGTTACCTTGATGAAAGAACATAACAACAAACAACACACCTGAAAAACAGTGTAGCAACAACAACTTCTGCATAACTCTTCTTCCCAGATGTAAACAATCTAGCAACACCAACCTCTGGACCATCATTTTCCTGTTCAGGTTCCAAAAAACCAAATTCTATGTTCATACATATGTTTTTCATTGTTGGTCCATTATTGATAACATAAATTAAGAAATCAAGAAAAAAATAAAATTTGTCAATTTCCAAATGCTACTTATTTTACATAAATAAAAATCAATCTTTTGTTACTTTAATTAAGGACATAAATATTCTGTATGAATAATCACCTGAATAATCGCATTTTCAAATTACAAATTTTGAAGTTTTGCTTGCTGAAAACTCTTCAAAACAGCCAATAATTTATTTTAAAAAATTTACGTTTTTTTCCAGTTCTCTATGTCTTCTTCTGGTGTAGACTCCTTCTCCATCAATTCTCCTGCAAAATTAACAGGTAAGTTTTATTTTTACTTTAATCTATTTTCTGTCAGAAAAAATTAAGGAATACGATGAAATTGCAAAATCTTCTAAATAGATATTAGTCGATACCCGAACTAGAGAAACGATAGAAGAAGAAAACAAATGAATATGGAGCATATACATGTAATCGACTTCGGTTGATGACATGCGTATAAGAAATCGATAGATGAAAACAAAATCTTAGAAATTAAACACATGGATGAAGGATACTTACTGTTATCGGGATGATAACGATTTCAATGTCGGTGCTAAATCATAACGATTTTGTTAGGGCAATAATATTGGATTTCTAAATACCATTCTTCCGATTTCTCATACCTTCAAATCTAGATAGGTAAAGTTACAAAGGGGGAGAGGATTTCATCTGTTTGTGCCGATTACATTTCCCATTTCCCAAAATGTATAATTTGTCTGTAACCACAAATATTATAGCTACAATTTTATTATTTAAGATTTATAAATAAAAATAAAATTTATAATATAAATTCATATATTCTCAATTTACGGTTCACTTTTAATACAAAACTGGAAATGCATTTCTATGATATTAAATAAAATTGTTTTATTGTATTGGTTGATTAAAACATTTTGAAAATAAAAAGTATGATAAAAATTATGTTTTATATTTATTTAGTAAAAATATAAAAATATTTAAATGCAACCAAATTATAAGGATGGCCCCAATTACAAACTTGTATAAAAAAATATTGCAAATATATGTCAAAATCATTGTGTTGCTTTATATCTTATATTTTCTTTATTATATTGTGTTTAATATAAATATTATTTGTTCATATTTTATTTATCAAGAATTGACCGACTACGACTTGTATAAAAGAAATTGCAATTATATGTCAAATATTAGCATAATGTTAGTTTATATGTTATTTTCTTTAATTTAATCATATTCTTTATTACCTATCATCTTATTTTATAAATTAATTGTTATTATTGTTCATATTGCAGACATATTATGAAGTCGTTTAATTCTAAAAAGAGTAGAAAATTAAATAGTTTTTATTTAGATAATATAAGTAACATTAACTTGTCTACTACATCAATCGAACAAGCTTCAACCACTACAAATGTTATTACTTCAGCTAACAATGGTATGTTTTTTCTTTAACATTTTTTTATAATTTTTTTATTACATACATTTTAAGGCCTAAATAACTCATTTAATAACATAAAAATATGATGATATATTGACATAAGAAGAAAAAGCAAATACATTGCCTTTTTCATCGACCACTGAATATTCATCATCTGCAGTATTTGTTAACAACGGTTACAAAGGTACATTTCTTTCTTCACTATTATTATTGAGTATATATTATTACGAAAAAATTTAATGTTAACCAACTTTCAATTATTTATTATTATACATTTTATATCATATACTTTTATTCCTTAGGCAGAAACAAACCATAATATGTACTATTTGCAAGAAAGAGAGAAAAGAAGACAGAGAAAATTATATCTGGATAATAAGAAATCGAAGAAAATGAAAACAAAATGCAGTGTTCTCAATCCATCTGCTTCAAATGTTTTCAAAAACACGGATAACTGTAATTTACTTATTTTATTTTTCAATTTTTACACTACATTTACCTATATAAAAAATAAATACATTGTTATCATTTTATATTATTGCCTACATTCTAATTATATTTTATAACGTATGTCTTCGATTTTTATAACAAGTTTTTTTTTACAGATCAATCAAAAGGCGTTGTTCATCAAAATGAAAATGTCAATTCACATAAATCACGTGGAAACCAAAATTCACCCCTACAATCATCTTCTTCGTATATAAATGTTAGAACTCCGTTATCTAACATTTCAAATGGTAATAACTTTTTTTTTCAAAAGTTACTTTAAACCACTTTCTAATAAATTTATATATCCTCACTATTTTTTTACAGTTAATATTACATGCAGAAATGCATCTACAGTAACTGCTTCTTCATCATCAATCAAGTTAAATACAGGATGTCATAAATTAAAAAGGAAGTTGAAAGATTTATCTCCTATTCCATTGATTGACTTGACAACAGATGTAGAAAATATACATGAAGTCGTTACTGATAACCTAATAGTTGGTATTTCCAAAGGTAATCACTATATATACCCATTTTTTGTTACAAATCAAATACCATATTGTATATACTTAAAAATTTAAATAATTTACTTATACCGTTTTATTTTTTACAGAATATTTGGATCATGGTGATCAAATTGTTGTATGTAAAACATGTCATGCAAAGTTATGGAAAATGAATATATTAGAGGAAAACAAAAAGGGAACACAAATTATTCATTATGTTGTGGTTATGGCAAGGTTCAACTACCAGATTTAAAGAAACCACCACCAACTTATGAAAGAATGTTTCGACTAACAGATTCTAAAAGCAAAAACTTCATGAAAAACATTCGACGTTACAATTCAATGTTTTCGTTTACGTCGATGGGTGGTAAAATAGATTCTTCTATCAATAAAGGAAATGTTCCATACATTTTCAGACATGGTGGCCAAAATTATCATAGTATTGGAAGCCTTTTACCACCAAATGGATCGCAGCCAAAATTCTCTCAGTTATACATTTATGATACCGAGAACGAAAATTCAAATAGACAAAGATGCTTTGGGTATATTTTCAAACTTCTTATTCATATTTAATTTTAATATTTTTATATTTTTTTACTAATATTATGTATATATTCAATTTTTTTAGTGGGGAAAAGCATCAATCTACATCGATTGATAATGATATTATTGAATATTTGAAGGTGATGTTAGATTCAAATAATGTCTTGGTTAGCTGTTATAGAATAGTAAGAGATATTTTTCAGAAAAATCCTCAAGTTGATGTGAAGTTAAGAATTATCGGAAGAAGGGATCGAGATGGAAGGACATATAACCTACCAACTGCTTCTGAGGTTGCTGCTTTAATTGTAGGTGACATTTCTGATTCAGTTCAAAATAGAGATATTGTTGCTCAAACGAAATCGAGATTTCTACAACGTATCAGTGAATTGCATCCTTCTTATCTTCCTCTCCAATATCCGCTACTATTTTCATATGGTGATGATGGTTACAGCGTTGATATTCTTCATAGAGGTGTTACATCTACAACAAACAACAAGCGGGCGAAATGTACAATGAGAGAATTTTTCGCTTTTACAATTCAAGACAAGGATCATTCGTTCTCACTGATTCTTAATTCAAAAAGGTTATTTCAATAATTTTTGGTAGATACGTATACTATGATTGAAAGTGAGAGATTGTATTACATACGCAGGAAACAATATGTTCTAAGATGTTATTCTTATGAGAATTTACGTAACCAAAAAGCTCAAGGAAATACAAATATCTCCAACGTCGGCCAACGTGTCATATTACCTTCATCTTTTACTGGTGGTGCACGCTATATGCTGCAAAACTATTTGGATGCCATGTCGCTTTGTAAATGGTTTGGATATCCTAATTTATTCATAACATTTACGTGTAATCCCAAATGGCCTGAGGTTAAAAGGTTTCTTAAGGATACTTCACTTCAACCAGAAGATAGACTTGATATACTATGTAGGTTGTTCAAGATCAAGCTTAATGCATTTATTAAAGACCTAAGGGAGAATCACATTTTCGGCATTGTTCAAGCAGGTAATTGAATTATGTTTTTTTCATAATCCATAAAAGTTTATGTTTTTTTTTTAATATTTTTGCTTACGGTCTATTACAATTTTATTTTGTTCAAAATATTTTGCAGTTGTTTATACAATTGAATTTCAAAAAAGAGGTTTGCTGCATAGTCATATATGTCTATTTATGCATTCTGAATACAAGTTACCGACTGTTGAATTTATCAATCCGATGATTTCCGCCGAGATAGCAGACAGAGATGAAGATCCAGAATTGTATTCACTTGTGAATGAGTTCATGATTCATGGTCCATGTGGAGCTGAAAATATCAATTACCCATGCATGGTGGACAAAAAGTGCTCTAAAAACTTTCCAAAGCAATTCTGTAACCATACGCCTGTTGATCAGAATGGTTTTCCCTTATATAGGAGAAGAAACGATGGTCATTTTGTTGAAAAATCGGGTGTGCATTTGGATAATAGAAATGTTGTTCCGTACAACAAATATCTATTGAAAAGATATCAAGCACATATTAATGTTGAATGGTGCAATCAATGCTCTTCTATAAAATATTTGTTTAAATACATAAACAAGGACCTGATAGAGCTACAGTTGTCGTTGAACAAAGCAATAATGACTGTGATAATAATGATACGGTCGATGAAATCAATGAGTATTACGACTGTAGATATCTATCTGCATGTGAAGCATCATGGAGAATTTTTAAATATGATGTTCATTACAGGTATCCTTCTGTGGTTAGACTGCCTTTTCATCTTCCTGGTCAACAACAAATTGTATATGGGGAAGACGATGATATTGACGATGTTCTCGACAAACCTTATGTTGCTTCTTCAATGTTCACAGCTTGGATGGAGTGTAATGCAGTTAATGGTGATGCACAGAAACTTACGTATGTTGAATTCCCTACAAAGTTTGTTTGGAAACGTGGTGATAGGATTTGGAAGCCACGGGAAGTAGGAAAGTGCATTGGTAGAATTCATTCGGTTTCACCTAATCTAGGGGAAGCTTATTTCTTAAGAATTTTGTTAAATAAGGTCAAAGATCCGAAATCATTTGAAGAAATTCGCACAGTAAATGGTGAAGAATATTCTTCTTTTAGAGATGCTTGTTATGCTCTTGGGCTCTTGGATGATGACAAGGAATACATCGATGCAATCAAAGAAGCAAGTCATTTTGGATCTGGTTTTCACCTACGATTCTTATTTGCTACATTATTGATGTGTAACAGTATGTCTAAACCGGAGGTTGTTTGGGAAAACACATGGGAATTTTTGGCAGATGGAATTCTTTATAACCAACGACAGAGATTCAAGTCTCCAGGTTTTAAAGTTTTTTATTATTATTATTTATTTAAAAAGTCAATTATTTATTTTTAAACATACATTAACTAATATTTTAATTATAAATAAATATTGTTAATAATATTTCTAATTAATTTGCTCTTTATCCTCCAGACTTATCACTCAATGAAGATCAACTTAAGAACTTAACTTTGTTCGAGATAGAACAAGTTTTACTAAGGAACAACTCCACTCTCAAAAATTATAAAAACATGCCTATCCCAGATGTGGATTCTGTTTCTTCTTCAAACAATCGACTTATCACCGAGGAGCTAGATTATGACATTCCTGTTATGAAGACTGAGTTTGATCGTATGTTTCTTGCATTGACAAATGAGCAGCGTCACATTTTCCTTGATATCATGGGTGTAGTTAAAGAAAATAAAGGAGGTGTCTTCTTTGTTTATGGTTATGGTGGGACTGGTAAAACTTTTTTATGGAAGACAATATTTGCAGCTATTAGATGTAATGGTCATATTGTTTTAAATGTTGCTTCAAGTGGGATTGCTTCATTATTATTGCCTGGAGGTAGAACAGCATACTCTCGATTTATAATTCCATTTGAACTAACAGAGGATTCTGTTTGTAAAATAAGTCGAGATGGTGACCTCGCTAGGTTATTGAGAAAAAACTCATTGATAATTTGGGATGAAGCTCCTATAGTCCATAAGCATGCATTTGAACCTTTAGATCAAAGTTTGAAAGATGTATTCAGGTTTGAAAATTCTAGCAACTCAGATATTCCTTTTGGAGGGAAAGTTATTGTTTTTGGAGGAGATTTCAGACAGATTCTACCTGTTATTCCTGGTGGAAGTAGACAAAACATTGTTAATGCTTCTTTAAGTTCTTTATATTTATGGCAACATTGCAAGATCCATAAATTAACAAAAAACATGAGGATAACTGTTGGAAGGGATCAATCTAATATAGAAAAAAGCAGAGATTTTGTAGAATGGTTGTTGGATATAGGAGAAGGCAAACTTGGTGGTATCAACGGTGGAGAAACGGTTATTGATATTCCAGATGATATTCTCATTAATGATCCACATGATCCTATAGGTTCATTAATCGACTTTGTATATCCTTCAATTTTGGAAAAGTACAACACTACAAGTTATTTTCTAGAAAGAGCAATACTTTCCAAAGAATGAAGTGGTTCAGGAAATAAACGACCGTTTGCTATCGAAGTTTCCAGGAGATGAGGTTGAATACTTAAGTTCAGATAGTATATGCCAATCTGAATTTGTCCATGATTAGTTTGATGCAAATTTATATTCACCTGATGTTTTAAATGGTCTGAAGGTACCAGGTTTACCAAACCATAAGTTAGTTTTAAAAATCGATGTTCCAGTTATGTTGTTGAGAAATATTGATCAGAAAAATGGCTTATGTAATGGGACAAGACTCCAAGTGATATCATTGGGCAAACGTGTTATTGAGGCGCGTATCATATCTGGAACTAATATTGGAAACCACACTTTTATTCCAAGAATGTCTTTAACTCCATCAGAAAAGAAGATTCCTTTCAAATTCCGAAGAAGACAGTTTCCATTGGTTGTATGTTTTGCAATGACCATTAATAAGAGTCAGGGACAATCATTATCCAAGGTTGGTTTGTTTCTCAAACATCTCGTGTTTTCACATGGCCAATTGTATGTTGTCTTATCTAGAGTTCAAAGCAGAGAGGGATTAAAATTATTAATATTAGATAAGGATGGTAGCCTCACAAATCAAACTTCCAATGTTGTTTATAAAGAAGTTTTCCAGAATTTATAAATAGTGTTTTTGTACCATCTTTTATTTACTTTTCAAAAATAATACTTCATCCATCATATTAATTAAGTAATTTATAATACTTTATTGTATTTCATTTATTCATGTTAATTACAATATCACTATTTATCATTTTTTGTAAACTTTGATATGTTTTTTATTACACAACCAAAATGAAAATTATAATTCTATTTCAAATTATCAACTGTGGATTTCCACGAGTTTTAACCTAGTTTATGAGAATAAATCAAGGAAAACTAGTTAAGCTATTCTAAAAAATACAATAAACTTCCATAACATCTTATATTATATTTTAACCACAAATATAAAGTTTGAGCAGTTTTATAAACAGTTTAGTATTTATTTTCATTTTTAATAGAATAAACACACAAAAATTATAAAATCGGGTTAAACTGTTTGAAAATCAATTTGAGTATTTTTCCCAGTTTATATACATTGCATAACAGTTTTATGAAAAGTTTGGGAGATTTAGAAACTATTTTATAATTATCTCTATTTTTATTAGAATAAACACACAAAAATCATAAAATTGGGTTAAACTGTTTGAAAATCAACTTCAGTATTTTTCCCAGTTTATATACATTGTATAATAGTTTTACAAAAAGATTGAGAATTTTTATTAACTTATTATTGTTTTTCACTATTTTATGATGTTTTCAAATAATTAAATGGTGGAAAAATAGTTAAACATATTTAAAAATCATGAAAAATTTAAAAAGGGTTCTAAATTATAGTTAGAATTGAAATGTAAAGTTTGGAAGTTTTTAGAACTGATTTGATTTAATTTTGGATTCTTAGCTTGTAAAGCCCTTCCAAAAGTGCTAAAATGCATTACAAACAATAACACAAAATGAGATTTGTCACATGCAAATGTTAATAAGTCAATTAGTATATAGAAATCTGAATTTTCAGAAAAGTATCTACAACTTATACAAAACCTAACTTTGACACAATATTGATATAATTTTATTGTAGAAGTTAAGTATACTAGTATTAGATTTCGATTAGAGACTCATTAGTGTGTAACATCGTTGTAGAAATCGGTAGTGGTACAATTGGAACTTAGTTCAATGCATCATTTTCATCATCTCAAAGCATTGTGAGTATTCACGACTTCCCCAATTTTCGGTTTTTATGTTTTGGGGTGGAAAAGCATGTCCGAAAAACTATTTATTGTTCGTTGTATTTAAATTGATTTGTATCAAACTTGATCGCAATATTTTGCTACGTATGTTTATGCAACTTGAAACATGAGGCATTATCGTCTTAAGTCCCTTCCACTTTACTCCAACCATTAGCTCTTTGAGCCAATGGTAATTATGGATAGCGCTATTAGGAATTGACAACTTCTCACTCGCCCGATTGCTTGAGTGCATGATACCATATTAATCTATGGAACGATAAGCATAGATCTTGATAGTCTAGGATTAGGAGTTTAAGCCCATAACTATAATTGGTATGTACTTGACCCAAGAGTAGCATAGTCCATTTGGGTTGCATATCACCAGGACAATCTGATAGGATGGACTTTTGAGAAGAGGTAATTTATGATTTATTAATATATTATAAGTTCTAATAGATTAATATGAAATCATATTATTTAATTAGTATTGATCAAGAATTAATTTGGAATTAATTTAGTGATCAAAAGAGACTAATTAAATGAAAGGGGATTGATTTGGTAAATCAAACATTCTTATGGTGTGGGCTTATGTTATTTAGGATGGGTTAAACCAATATGGTAGTCCATGGATAGTCCATGAAGGTTTAACCCATGGATCCTAGGTAATATGAAGAGTCATGGGTATTAGGGTTTACATGGCATAACCCTAATCCTTGCCACACTATAAAAGGAGCCCTTAACATCCAAAATCGCTCACTACATGTTCTATGAGTTCATCAGCCATTTTGTGAACAAGATATCCTCTCTCAAGAGTCATCCTTTGTTCTAGGTGTGTTGTGATTCTATTTGAGGTATTCACACTATTCGTGCTCACTTCTTAAAGGTCCAAGGTTTCCAGCTACAACAAAAGGTATGTCATCTAACTAGAATTTTGTAGTAAAGATACTCCATTGTATGCTAGTTAGGATGATGCTTTGGAAAAACAAAGTTTGCATGTATATTAGAGAAAACATAGATCCAAAGCATCTAGGGTTGCATGTACACCATAGGAGTGTAAGAATGCTCAAAACCCAACGATAGGGCGTCAGTCATAGGCTTGGTTGTGAACTCATTGTTTGCTCATATACATACAAACTTGTTTACTTATTATAGCAATAAACTTTGTTTCTCATTATAGCAACGAACTTTTATTACTGGAAACTTATTTACTTGTCTTAACAATGAACTTGTTTGCTCCTTATAGCAACGAACTTGATTGCTCATTATAGCAATGAAACTTGTTTACTTATTATAGCAATAAACTTTGTTTCTCATTATAGCAACAAACTTTTATTACTGGAAACTTATTTACTTGTCTTAACAATGAACTTGTTTGCTCCTAGTAGCAACGAACTTGATTGCTTATTATAGCAATGAAACTTGTTTACTTGTTTTAGCAACGAACTTTATTTCCCATGAGAATATGAACGTTGCATCTCATTTTTAGCAACGAACATTATTTCCCATGAGAATATGAACGTTGTATCTCATTTGGGCAACGTACTTTATTCATCATGATGACAAAGAACTTTGTTTATGCAAACTTATTTACTCATTTTAGCAATGTACTTTTATTTATGGAAACTTCTATCAGCACTTTGATTACGATTCATGAAACCAATATTGTTTTTATCTTGTGAACTCACCAACTATTTCGGTAGTTGACTGCTCATTTTACATTCTTTTTCAGGAATCATCTAGTAAGAGGCACCTAGAGACACACCATTTGTAGGAGCATTTGCATATGTTATATTTCAAATACATTGTAATTTATTTTGAAAAGTTGTCCAAACTTATTGTAAATTGTAATGTTTTTTAATACTATGGTTGGTGTTGTCTTTTAACTTTTGCTATGACACCCTTTATACTGTCACGTCCCATGTTTCCGCTTTAGCGGGGTGTGACAAATGGGTTGTTTTTGAAAAGTTAAAATTTATCGTGATTTTTGGGATGTTACAGTTGCATAGAACTCCTCCACAAATTCTAAAATGTCTTTTGTGACATCCCAAAAAAATTACAAAACAAAAAAGTAAACCCATCTGGGCCCAAGGCTCTATTATTGCCACAAGAGCATACATCGGCTCAAATCTCATCCTCAAAAAATATAACCGACAAGCTATTCCAATAATTATCATCTAAATAGGAAGTCATGCACTTCTATTACTCACATTATTCCTTTGAAATGATTGGAACTTGCGTCTGAAAAAAATAAAAAAAAAAAGGATCCTTTACCTTATCCGGAGCCGAGTGCCAAACACCATCAACTAACACCCCAAAAACCGCCAATCTCCTTCGATTTTTTAATAATAGAAATGAAAATATTTAGTGTTTTCATCCCCTTCAAGACCCCACCAAATCCTTGACTTTTGAAGAAGATCCATGCTCTTGGTTTTTTCAAAGTCTTGATCTCTACCTCCTATATCAAAAACACATCAATATCTTGAAGAGTCCTTATCACATTATCCTTTTCCCCTTTTCTTTTAGCCACCACCTCTTTAAACCAATCCTTTAAACGACTTTTAAGAAACTTAAGTTTATTTTTGAAACTAATAAAATTGTTATCTGTATTCCCACTATCAAACTCCATCCAAGCCAAACCCACCTGATACTAAATCCATCCACTTGAAACCATGAGTCAAAGAGCTTAAAAGGAGTAAGTTCATAATCCAAAACTCCACTTTTTAAAATTATCGGGCAATTATCGGACCACAACCTAGAGAGAACCAATGCCAAAATATCTGGAAAATAATTTAGAACAACCCATGTAACTAAAAGTCGATCCACCTTTGCCATCTTAGTACATTGACGATTTACTCCAAGTAAAACGCTCATCGCCTAACGAGACATAAAAAGAGTTGAATTCACTATAAAATCATTAAATTCATCAGCCGAACAAACACATTTCAAATCTTTCATTTGCCTCCCGAACAACATTGAAATCACCAAAAACAATGTAGTCACCATGGTTCAGTCATATGAAAGATAAAATAAAGGGAAAGTGAGTAATGTAACCCTTATAATTGATCATTTTAATAAAAATAAACAATAATTTTTTGGGGGAAATTAACCATACGCTCCAGAATATCATATTCTGGAGCACATAATTTTGTTCCGGACTTGTGATCCTGAATACGATATTCAAAAGTATGTATGATCTTGTTCCAGAGTGGGTGCTGGTTGGTGGGATTTTAGTCT